GTGCAGCTATGGCTCAAGTAGCCCTGAACAAAATAAACAAAATAAATAATAAATTAATAAATTAATAACAAAATAAACCACACACAGAGAAACCAAGATTGTATGATTTCTCTCAGTGGTAGATAGAATGTACCTATAAATCTGAAAGTAAACAGGCTGAGTAGTATACAAGCAGTTATAATAAATGCTATGGATTATGATAAATGCTATGGAGAGCTTAAATAGTACAATGTTTAAGAAAGACTAAGTCTATGCCCAACAAAATAAGCACCAAGAAATGGGCAAAGTACTTACAAGGGGTAGTGGGGCCAAGAGGAGAGAGAGGTAGGCAATGAAGGTGGGGAGAGTGGGGGTGTTAATGCAATCAAGAATTAATTGTACGTCTGGGAAGGTGGCTCAGTGGTAGAGCGCTTGCCTTGCATGCCTGAGGCCCTGGGTTCGATTCCTCAGCACCACGTAAACAAAAAGAAAAGAGCCGGAAGTGGCGCTGTGGGTCAAGTGGTAGAGCACTAGCCTTGAGCTGAAGAGCTGAGGGACAGCGCCCAGGCCCAGAATTCAGGCCCCACAACCGGACCCAAAAAAAAAAAAAAAAGAAGAATTAATTGTCTATACCACAAAATTGAGAAATGTAAGGAAAGGGCTGGTTAAAGGAGGATGAGATTGTTGAAGGGGATGACACAGATCAAGATGCATTTGTATTCACACACTTCTTTGTTAAATTATACCTTCCTTATACAACTACTTAAAAGATAATTGAAAACAACAAAACCTTTCAGGGACAGTGCCCAGGCTCTAAGTTCAAGCCCCAGGACCAGCACCAAATTAAATAAACATTTTTTTTCTACCTGGGGCTTGAACTCAGGGCCCAGGCACTACTTCTGAACTTTTTTGCCCAAGGTTAGTACTCTACCACTTAACCACAGCTCCACTTCCGTCTGGGGATGGGAGGAGGGCAGAAGCTTAACTGAAGATAAGAATTTCATAGACTTTTCTGCCTGGGCTGGCTTTGAACCACAATCCTCAGATTTCAGCCTCCTAAGTAGCTATAATTACAGATGTGAGCCACCAGTGCCCCGTCTTTTTTTAGGGGGAGGGGGTGTGTTTTGTAATTGGCACTACTGGGGTTTGGACTCAAGGCCTTGCACTTATGCAGGCACTCTTCCACTTCAGTCACATCAACTCACATCACAGCTTTTTTTTTTTTTGGGGGGGGGGGTCCGGTCGTGGGGCCTGAACTCTGGGCCTGGGCACTGTCCCTCAGCTCTTCAGCTCAAGGCTAGCGCTCTACCACTTGAGCCATAATGCCACTTCCGGCTTTTTTCTTTTTTGCTTATGTGGTGCTGAGGAATTGAACCCAGGCATGCAAGGCAAGCGCTCTACCACTGAGCCACCTTCCCAGCCCTTGTGCTTTATTTTTAAAGTAGGTTATAGCATTGGTTGGGGAAGGTGGGAAGGCTTGAATTCAGGGCCTGGGTGCTATCCCTCGGCCTTTTTTTTTTCTAGCTAGCATTTCTACCACTTGAACCACACCTCATTACAGCTTTTCAGTGGTTAATTATAGATTAGAGTCTCATGGAGGGTGGGTTTTGCCCAGGCTAACTTAGAACCATGATCCTCAGATCTCAGCCTTCTGAGTAGCTAGGATTACAGGCATAAACCACTGGCACCTGGCAGGTTGTCAATTTGGAAGCACTTAACCCAGCACTCACCAGACTAGTAGACTGAAATAATCTTTCACAGTGGATAGTCTATAGCACTGTAAAATACTGATCTTTACTGTTTAATCAGTTTATTTTCTGATTCGTTCATTTATTCATATACTCTCAATTGGCTTTTTCACTCAAGGCTGGCATTCTACCACTTGAGCCACCCCTCCACTTCTGACTTTTTCCAGTTCATTAGAAATAAAGAGTCCCAAGAGTCTAATAGACTATATTCTGCCTAGCCTGGCATCAAACCTCAATCCTTAGATCCTGAGTAGCTAGGATTACAGGCATGAGCCACCAACTCTTGGCCAATCTGTTTTGTGTATAGTATGTATATATTTGAATAATATGTATACTGTATAATTATTTTGTGTAATATGTACATATTTATATAGTGTTGTATATATGTATAACCTAAGTTATTTTGTTATCCTGTTTTTATAAATCAGATAAAATTATAAAAGAAGCTTCTGATAGTAGGTGATTTCTGCATATGTGCATATATTGTCCAAATAAAAATACTAAATCATAAGGATTGAAAATTTTTTTTAAGCACAGGTTAAAAACAGCAGGTGGAACTCAGCTGCATGTGGCAATGTGAGGAAAGACATTGCCTTTGTAGTACCAATGCTCCTTTCCCACATCAACATATAATTAATGTAATGATGCACATCTTTTCCTTCTCTTTAGAAACAAATGGGAATTATAAATTTTCTTCTCTGTTCTTAGAAGACAATGAAAATAGCGTGGGCTTTCTCAGAGGCTATTGCTTGTAAAACTCCATAGAAACACACCTGCTCTATAACTGACACTCATTTTCTATTTCCCTGCTTCTATTAAAAATTGAGATAATCAGGCTCTTTCTTGATCCTCACTCTGATAAGGTGGCCACTGGCAACTGCCAACTACTGGTCCACTAAACTTCTGATGGACAGAAATAAAGCAAGCCTAGGTTCTGATGATCACCACAACTGGGGAAGAACTTCATGGGGCTCATTATCCTATTCTACCCACTTTAATTCATACTTGAGGTTTTACAAATAAATCACAAAGTAGCGGTCAAAGGCTCTCTACATGTAGAAACCATCATCACCCGGCCAAGCTTTAGAGGCTCAACCTGCTCAGACTTCCGAAAAATGAGAACCTTAAACACATGGAAAGGACAGGGCAGGGAATATTTAAATGCTGCTTTACACTGTCCTGGGAGAAGAAAAAGAGAGGACAAGAGAAAGCCTTCCAGTCTGAGTCTCTTGTCACCATAGTAGTTTTCATTCAAAAGTAGGTGCTCATTCTGGCAAACTCCATCAAAGTATGAATCCATCATTTCCCAAAGACAAATTTGTGCTGAACACATATATTAGGAACCAATGAGCCTTCTGGGGAACACTTCATATCCATACACACGTATACAAACACATACAAACTATGTGGGTAAAATAAATATTTAAGGAAACTTGGAGGTAATGTTTTCAATTATGCATTAAGAATAAAATGTTGCTACAACATGGCTGATGTCACATGACTTTGGTATTCCAGGTGTTTAAATTGTAGTTGTCATGTTCAGTAAAACCCACAAAGCAATACATATACATATTCTTCCAGGCAGAGCCCCATGGTAGATTCTGTTTCAGTGACAGTAAAGGTAACAAAACACAAACTTGCTTCTTGTCACTACTTCTACTTCTTGGTGTCAAGAATTCTTATACTGAGAAGCCACACAAACTACACAAATACATACCCCAAAGTTAAAGTATGTGCAGCAGATTAATGCAGGTGGTGCTATCCCAGATACACATCAACCCCACTCATAAGAGACTCAAGACTTAAGATGTTAAGAGTTCTGGACCCATTTCTGCCAAAGACAGAATCTTAAAAGTACATATGAATGAGTTACAAAGTACATAAATGAGTTACAAAGCTTCAAGAAAGCAGACTGCAAGAAAATATGGGGAAATTATCAGTGAGTTTGTTGATACTAGCACAGTTATAGTAAATTATATTTTCTTATATTGTTTATATTTTAATAGCCATATGAAGAGGATTTGTGGGAGTTAATAAAAGCAATTTAGTCATTTTGAGTGAGTTATAGGAAACATTCTGTCCAAAGATTGATTCCTTTAGAGTAAGAATAATGGTAAATATACTCAGGAGGGTGAGTCAAAGACCTGGATTCTGCAGCCTGCTCTCCCTCATGCACAAAGCATGCAAATATTTTCTACAACCTCGATATTCAAAATCTGAAGGCTGTGCTATAATCTACACAGCTTATAACTCAAACATCTAGGATGCAATGATATAGCCACAGTTTAAAGTTTCTTGCTGGAATCTGATAACTTTCATTCTTATAATAATCACTCTGATCTTTTCCCTCCCTTTTTGGAATGAGAATTACCCACTCATCCTCAAATATCACAAAGTACAGTGAAAACAACAGGCTACAATTTTATCATGGCACTTGAGATGTTAGACACACATGGACTTGGAATTTGAGGCCAGTCTGGGATATAGACAAGTGTCCCAAGGAAAAAAAAACCAACAACAACACAAAAAAGGTACAACTTATCAAGCAGTATAAGCAAAGAATGCTCCTTGAATCACTGGATATGCTATTCTGGATGGCCTCTGAACTGTAGGGAAGCTAAAGCAGATGTGGGGGTGGAGTGAGTAAAAGGATAATGATACTTGGGTATCATAGAAGAAGGAATCATAGGCTTACAGATATTAAGAATGTTCAAGGTTAGCAGGTAGGCCAATGTAGTAGGGAGAGAGAACTTTCAGAAAGAACACTATGACATCAGAATACTGACCTACACCAGATCACAAAGAACCTGGTGGGCAATGGAGAGCACTGAATTGTGGTCTGGGTATGGATTTGGGACAGAGGATTAACAGTGCCTGATTTACATTCTACAAGGATTACTCTGGTGCCATGTGAAAACAGACAGTAAACACGAGAAAGGAAGAGCAGCAAGAATCCTGGTTGAGAGGCTCTGAGGAAAACCCAGGTAAAATACCATGAGGCCTGTATCATGAACACACTAGCAGTGATGAAAATTCAGGACACATATCAAAACTAAAGTCAACAGGATTAGTAATGGATTCAACATAGTCTATGAAACAAAGTCAGTAGTAATTCTATAGTTTCTAGCCTAGGAAAGAGGGTGAATAAAGGTTAAGTTTTAAGACCTAGAAAGCCATTCTAAAGTATCCGAACAGCTGTTCAAGAAATAGCATACACATTTTACTGACATAAAACTGGAAAAAGCAGAAATAGAGTCTCATTTTTCTACTTACCATTTGCAGACTGTATCATGTTTCCAGATTTTTGGACTTCATCAAATTTTGTAAAAATGACATTCAACCTGGATGAAAATGAATATGCATTGTAAACATATGTGAAAATGTCAAAATGAAGTCTCCTCTTATACAATTCATGTATGCTAATATGTTTTAAAAAGGAGAGATAAACTATTAAATACCATTACTAAAAATTATTAAACACTAAATGAAATTGAGTCCCCACTCCCCAAAAAAGCGCTTACCATTGAGACAACCCCACTTAATATAATCAGTAACTACTACACAAGCAACAACTACTACTGAACACCTAGTACAGGTCCAGCTCTGGAGAAAAGGCTCTGGAAAGGCTGCTATCAGCCCTTTCTGCAGATTAGGAAGTCATCACCCTGTGCCCTTCTTAAGGGCACAGTAGAAGGTAAAGATTCTAGCCCTGACAAATCAAGGATCCCCATCCTAACAAATACTCAATGTAACTCTTCTACAAAAAAATTTAAAAAAATCATTATAAAAAGTAGATTCCCCCTGATCTTTCTAAGCATATTGACAGTTAACTGTGGATAAAACTTTTCAAATGCACTAATCTCACACTACAAGGTTTTTCTGTGGCATACTTAATTCAAAATGCTAGAAATAATTTCTCTAGAAACAAATGTTATGACTGTATAATCTTCAGCTTAAAAACTGCATGACAGTCACTTTCTATTAATGGATCATTTTTTCTTGTCATCTAAGTTGAAGTGAAACTCCTTAGCCATTTAAAACAGGAGAGGAAAGGTTGGGAGCATAATGTTACCTTGAAGAGAGAATTGAGTTTCCCCAGCAAACCACAGGTTCCTTGGAATAAGTGGAAACATTGGGATTCCAAAGCAAAGTAGTTGGTATTCAAACTGCTGCCATTCAATCGCAAGACCAGACTGGTCATTTAAAACTTTCTTCCCCACTGTCCTGCACTAGTCATTTCACACACATTCTTCTTCTCAAACTTTGCTTCTCAGCTCCTGAGAGCTGAGACGGGAGCCATATTCTTTAGGTGTAACAAGCACTGTGTCATGCCCAGCATCACTCCGTACAGTTCTTCCACAGTTTACAGAGCAGGGACCTGACCCTGTCCTAGACTTCACTCTGGAATGCTTTAGGTACTTCACACATTTTGTTTCTAGATCAATTAATTACTTATTCATTCAACAATACTTGAGTGTCTGTTCTGTGCCTATCTCAAAGTTACCTAAACGCTGGATTTCAAAGACTAACACTCTGAGCAAATTCTAAGCAACAGAGCAGATACAAATATGGAGCAACACAAATGAAAGGGATGAACCAGGTTGATACTCTGCTTCCTACATCTTTCCATCTCAGCCCAGAAATAGCCTAAAACTCTTTCTCAAAACTGCCCCAGGGAAACACTACCAACATAAAAATATCTCAGGACCAGATATGAGTACCACAATCACTCACAGTCAAACCAGATGGTTACTGAAGATCTGCAAAGATGCCTTAGAAGCAATTTCTTAAGATGTTTCCATCACTTTTCCCCTAATGTAACAAAGATCCCCAGTGGCTTGGCAAACCCATACTGAATATCACTACACAGGTCCTGGGCATGCCTTGACAGGCATCACTTTATTGTGTCACAACCACACCCTCTGAGGTGAGCAAACCTGCAAGTTTGTAAGTGAGGGTCTTGGTCCCTGACATTACTGGAAGGGGATGTTTCTTCTTTTTGGAAGGGGATCTTTCTTCTTTTTTCTGGGAGAGCATTCCTAATTCGAAGTGACATTTGTAAAAGAATCTACTGGCTATCAGTGGTAAGGTCTATTCACTGTAGCCACAGCCACAACCCGGCAGGCTGAAACAATCAGGTACAAGAACAGCTGAAGAAGTCACTGCTATTGGCATGTTTACACTCTTATCTCACCAACTCCTTCATTGTCTTAATTTGGGGCTTAACAATGTGCCTAAAAGAACTATCAAGGTCACCACCTCAAGAGATCCCTACCTTAGCTTTGCAAAAAAAAAAAAAGTAGGAAAAGAGGCACTGACTTTTGTCAACTTCCTCTGAGTGTGGCCATCAATTCAAGGTGCATCTTTTCGAAACAATACTCTTGCACAATTCTAAAAGTGAGCTTTATACATGTTTTGTGTGTGTGTGTGTGTGTGTGAAAATACCGTACAGAGGGGTTACAATTACATGGGCAAGGTAATGAGTACATTTCTTATCAAACATTGTTGCCTCCTCCTTTGTTTCCCCTTCCCATCTCCCCCCCCCCCCCGCCAAGTTTTAAAGTTCGTTTTTTGACATAACGTCTTGTACATCTCATTGTTAAGAATACTGGGAACATAATGATTATCCTGTAAAGCCATCAATTGTTTTTCTTTTATTTCAAATATTTAGGTTTCAATTTTTTCATGGGCTGGAGGTAAGGTTCAGGGGCAACATGCCAGCCTAATACTTGACCTCCCACATATGATTCAACATAAAACTGATATCATTTTCCTCTAGTTTTTCCAAATTTGATTTTTACATTCTTTTGCATTTGAATTTTATGTTAAATACTTCAACCTATATGGGGTTTATTTTACTATAAGATCTAGGTTTTATTAATCCTTCCTATACATTTTTAAATAATTCCCTATTCTAGTAATCTCACCATCAACAAACTCCATCCAAACACTCAAAGATCCTAATCAGCTTTTCAAATGAGTAGTAAGAAATACAAGATAGATGAACAGAATTCTTGTCCGGCACAATGGAATACAACTATGATCCCAGCACTCATGAGACTGAGAAAGAGAATTACAAATTCAGAGCCAGTTTGAGGTATTCAACAAGATTATTATCTTAAAAATAACCAGATATACCCAAAAACACTAACTTAGAAGCAGGAAACACTTTGAAAACAAAAGTTTAAAAGTGCTATCCTTAATATTTCTAAAGAGTTAAGAGGAAATATTATGATCCTAAAGCAAACAGGAAAGAAGCCTGGAATCACAGAATGAGGACCTCTGAATACCTGTTGTTCCAAAAAAAGTAAAGGGAACACTGGCAATATCAGCTTTTTCAAAACGTAAGAAGTTGGACAAAGGCTTGCAACAATTTGGGGATTATTTCTTTTAGAAAATAGGGTGATATCAACCAGTTTTTCATTGTTTGAATGTGTCCTGTTTCTGTATGTAACTGAACAATAGAAAATTCCTCAATCTCACAAGCATGGTAGTTTGAAAATTAGCAGCCTGGCAGCAGCCACTGTGAAAGACAGTGAACAAGTCTGGATCTCCCTAAACCCTCACTCTACCATTCCTATAACTCCATTCCCAAGTTTGTCTTTACCTGGCCTGAATCACCACTAAAAAATGAGCAACTATTATTCAATAAGGTAGGAAGACTGAGATGGTAACACCACCATCACAAAGAAGCTGCCTAAAAACTTAAAAAGGAGAAGCTGGAGAATGGTGTCCACAAGTAATTTTTAAAGCAATGATATCTTCATGAGAGTCTAAAAGGCCATACCCACATTCAAGGCTACATTCATTCCATGAAAGAGTGAAGAACGCACAAATGTCTCCTGTCTGGCTGACACTGAGATTCTGTACAAGTCAGGAAAGAGCCAAGAAGGCACAAATATCTCATATCTGGCTGACACTGAGATTCTGTATAAGTAGGAAGCAGAAAGGGAAGGCAAGGATGTAATCTACCTGTCAGAGCAAAGAAAGAAAGCCCTACATACTTCTGAGAACCAGTCAACAAAGGCTGAGAAACTTATTGGTTTAAAACACTTCAGAAAATCTGTTTAATCACATAATGACTAGACAACCAAACAAACTTCAGAACCCACATACAACAAAGAAAACCCTTACCATAATTATTCATGAAAGTCACTCAACAATGAGCAATATAAACAACAAAAAATGAGAAGCCTGTGCCTCTATTTCCAAGAGAAAGAGAAACATAAAGAAGAAAATAGTCAACAGAAATTGTCTATAAGAAAGCCCAGATGGGCTGGGAAGGTGGCTCAGTGGTAGAGCACTTGCCTTGCATGTATGAGGCCCTGGGTTCGATTCCTCAGCACCACATAAGCAGAAAAAAAAAGCCAGAGGTGGTGCTGTGGCTCAAGTGGTAGAGCGCTAGCCTTGAGCTGAAAAGCTGAGGGACAGCGCCCAGGCCCAGAGTTCAGGCCCCACGACCAGACCCCCCCCCAAAAAAAAAGCCCAGGTGTAGGACTAACTCAATGAAGACATGAAGTAAACTATTACAAATACATTGAAATATTTCTAAAGGTAATCATTTCTAAAGAAATAAAGCAAAATATAAAAACAATATCTTACCAAATGGAAAATACCAGTGAAGAGATAGAAAGCATTTAAAAATGAAGAAACATTGGAAAATTAAAGTACATTTACTGAAAAACAATACAAGTTTCCAGCAGCATATGTGAAGATATTCTGTCTGAGAAACATAAGAAAATAAATAACAGAAATTGAGAAGAAACTAAAAGATCCTCTTACAATACCAAACAACAACAACAACATACATATAAAAGAAATCTCAACAAAGAAAGAAAAGCCTGGAAAGTACATATGAAGAAATAATAACCAAAATCCTTATAAATTTTAGATAAAACATGAACATATTTAATAAGCAAATTTGCAAGTAAAATAAAGTGATCATAACTGTTTAGATGGGATTTTTTAATACAAAATGACAAATGTTTCTTAAACTGGAAAAGTTAAATCAACCAACCAAATGGAATAAATAATAAGCATCTAAGTAAAATAAATAAAATATAGAGAAAAATATTCGGAAAAAGTTTTAAACTTCAATTTAACTCTTGGGAAAAAAAATCAAAACTAAAATCTTTATTAGTAAACCTAGACTGTCCGGAAATGAAAGAAAACTCCTATGAATGAAATTTTAAACAGGGAGAGGGAAAAACAATATTGACCTTAAAAAAGTAAAAAAGGATTACAAGAGGATACTTTGAACAATTATGTAAATAAAATTAGGTAACCATGATGAGTAAATTTCTTGACAGATACAATTATCAAAAGAGATTCAAGGAAGTGG